AAAGTCAGTAAGAGAACATATCTGCAACCAGTTCTGCAACTGTAAGAGATGAATGAAGAAGAGTTACATTACTACACTGACAGGAATCATCAGAAAGTAACTCTGTGAATTCATCTGGGTATTTCCAATGGCTCAGAAGTTCACTCCAAATCTACATTAGGTCCCACTTCCAGGGGACTCTGGAGTCTCACAGTTTTTCCTGAGCTACTGACATCTCAGGATCAGAGCTATGGTCTCACAAGTATTACAGATGGCTTTATGAAAACATAAACAATTCTGAATCAAAGAATTGTCCCCAAATTCCAGCTGGTATCACTTCAGTATCTTTATTTCATGCCACTTATTTCTTTTTTTTCCCGTTCCAGTACAGCGTAAGGCTCCTTAAACGAAGAGATTAGGAAGGAAATCTAATCATGCCCTTGACTTTCCAGAAGTCAGATGTAACCTACACCCTTCTAAGAATATAAAACAAAGTACTGTTCCAGTACTTTTCTAAACTGCACAGTTAGTTTATCCTTACTTCACCCCTACCTACAAAGAGGGAAATGATCGTGCAGCTGAGTGCAAGTATTCCAGTACCTTCATTACAAGCTCAACCTGCTGCAGTGATGGCAATAATGAGGTATATTATATTGATCAGTCGAAGATACTACAGCTTGAAACTTCATACTTTAAAATGTAGAAATACAAACCTGCTACTCATGGGCAGCCTCTTCTCAGCCAAGAAACAAGACGCACTTAGCTCAGAGCATGAGGAGACAAGAACAGGAGAGGGGTATGCTCACAGCATTTTCAATTTGAGAATCACACCATTGATATCCCTGCCCCATCCAAGTCACAAGTCATCCAAAACCATTAGAAGGCTGAAAATAGAAACACCATAGTCAGATTATCTCATGAATGCCTAATGAATACAAATGTGCCAAGTACTTCCCTTGTTACTTCATGATGTTTTCTGTCATTGAAAACATCTTCAGGTCTAGGCTCTGCAGATATTTGATCTCTAAAGATAGCTAAATGATTTCTCTTTGACTGCATAAGCAGATCGTGTTCTTAAATTAGATGGTCTAATGTACGTTATAAAAATCCAACAGCTGATTTCCTGATGGATAGGTAGGTTCTGGATGAGTAATTGGACACTGTAAGCCATTGTCTAGTTTAATCATTCACATCTCTTACCTTGCCTGGTCAGAAGGACTTTGTGTCACTGAAAGCTCTTAGTTTCTTGGGACTACATGCCCAAACATGCCAAATACACAGCCAGTGGAGCAGAAGGGACCCAACAAAAGGCCTGCTCATTTCCCCCTGGATTTCTAAAATATTTCTTTGATGAAATGACCTGAAAGTAACTTTACAACACCGATCCATGCAAACGTACAACCCTTCTCATGTGGCAGTTGAGAAATACCTAATTTATTGTTGAAATGCAGCTACCACAAACGGGAAAGATGTGAAAACAGCAAAGACAGGCACATGGCTGAGAGGGAAGAATCCGTTAGAGACTTCTCTATTGACTAAACACATGTTTTGGTTATTGGAGTGTTACTTCCAATTTCTGTTCTATCCATATTCAAGAAGTTTCCATTTGAGTTTAGTCATGTCTTCAGCAAAAGAGGATCTACTTGCTGGTGAAGAGAAAAGGAACAGAGAAATGTTAATTCAAATTGGTACACCTGGTGTTTTCTAATGTATTTAAATCCTGCCACTTTCAAACAGAAGAGCTCAGAGATAAGTTACTCTAAGACAGGGAAGAGGTAAATGGAGAAAGGTATTTTTAGACTATTCTGATTTGCGGTGAAGGTGCAGTTTAGCTCTAATCATTCCTTAATTGGGTTATACTCAAGTCTTATTCCACACTATCGCTTTTAGTTTTTTGTTGTTGTTGTTGCTTGTTTTTATTGTGTTTGCAGACAGCTTGTTGCCCAAGAGGAGTAGAATTTGAATTTTCATATTTCAGGTCAATCCTGAAAGAAAGAAAAAATGTAGGTAACTAATGATGTGACTTCCATGAGTTTGAGGGGAGGTTAATGCTTTTGAGATGAGAATTAATGAAATAAGTTGCTTGGTTGAGAGGGTTTTTTTTAAAGACAGAAGCATAATTCAAAGCTAAGAGACAAAAAAAAAGAGGAAGATGGAAGAAAGGAAAGCAGGTGGTGGGAAGATACAACAAAAATGTCATTTATATGTGGTATGAATAGGCTACGTTTTAAGCCACCACCATTAATTGCAAAGTCCACTATATAAAGAATGGTTCAGCAATGGTTTCAGCACTCTGAAAAGGGAGGAACTGGGTGCAGGATCTTCCTCAGAAGGATTCAAATTCACAACTCACACACCTGAGGGCTGTGTTCCAGCTGCCCTGCAGAACCAGGTGTTTCCCGTCCATCACTACCAGAGGTGGGCCAGCAGGAAGCCAGGAATGGAAGAATCATGTTAGAAGGACAACAAGCAAGGAAAAGCCCAGCTGTGAATTGGGTGTTATGTTGTGAATAAGAAGACTTGGATTCCAAGATCCGGTCCCAAGATGATTTTCACATTTTGTAACAAAGTCTTCAAAGTCAATGGAAAGGTGTCACTGGGGAAGGGAATGAGAAAGGTAAGAAGTGTCTTTTGAAGAAAACCAGGAAATAGAAATGAGAAACTCAGTCACTCCCTCTTCCTAGCTGAACTTCTTAACTTCTAAGTTAAAGGGTTAGGCTACTTCTCACTTGCTTCGATTCCAACAATGTCCCATTTAAGGCACCTTTCTGGACTCCACCCAGAGACCTGATGGTATGAATTGCTATCAATTAGGATATCTGTAAAGCAGGGTGAGTAGAAGGATCGTGTCCCTTCTAAAATGTCAGGAGATATGTGAAGGTTAACAGGTCAGCATTTTCTCAGATATTTATGGATTAAAAACTGAGCCCTGGCCAAGTGAAGTGAGATGATTGAGTGTCAAGGACAAGTACGCCTTGAAAACTTGCTCTCTTCCTTGTCTTAGAGATAAAATTATTCTGGAGTGAATTTAAATAATGCAACTGTGGTAAAGTAAATTAGCATCCAGAGAAATTAAGACAGAAGTGGCAGAATCTGATCTCACAAAAGTTTAGTTAAGAAGAGCTAATGAACAAGAGAAATCGTAAGAGGAAAGAAGAGACACCTAACGATGTAGGCATGATGGAGAACTGACTGGATAAAGACACGAGAGGAAAGATCAGACTGGGTGAGGACCTGTCAATGAGATGAGAACCAGCAGTAATAGGAATTATGAAAAAAAATAAGGAGTTTTAACCTGGAGAACTTGAGGCAAGCCAATTGAGAAGGAAAGGGGAAGGTGCCAAATATAAAGAGCTTAGACTGGAACTTGCAGAGAAACTGAACTAAAATAAGAACCCCAAGAAACAGAGACTGAGACTGAGTAGATGAAGTTAATGAAATGGGAATGGGGAAGGCAGTAGAAGAAAAGGATGAAAACAAGGAAGACACAGTCTCAGGGTGTTTGAGTAGGTAAGTGCCTGTGCAGCTGGTTCATTACCCTTCACCTCCAGAACCTGGCATAGAATTTAATACGCCGAAGCCTGGTGTCAGATGAAACTGGAAAGATATCCCATTTTCCATTCTTGTTTCCTCATCCTCTTAAATTAGTGTTTCTAGACATGGAAGAGAACCACCTGCTACTGCTATAAATGCAGTTATTCTGCCAGCTAAGTGGAATACGTTTCTGCATATGATTTAAAGATTTTGCCTTACCAACTAATTTTACATGCACTGACCTAATGTCCCAGAACTCATGTTATTCATAGTGCAAAAGCTAAAAAAATTTCATGCCCTGCCCTGAATGCTGCATGAAGAGAATAGAGAGTCAAGCTTGCAGAAACAGAAACGTCTCTGCAACTTTACTTCAGTTCTTGTGTTCTACAGAATACATAACGAGTCATCAATAATTCAGTCTTTAGTAGTCCTGTCTCTAATATTTATGCTTCTAGATACTTCTTCAGTCATGCTTCATTACACAGGATCAACCTGAGCTATTTGTTCAATTTGGAATTACACAATAGAAAAGGGAATTGCATTAAAGAAAATCTCCAGGTTAAGGCACTGGAACATCAGTCTATACCAATTGCTATCAGCCATCTCCTTGTGCAGTGTCAGCTTTCCAGAGAAGGTCATCAATTCGGAGTACTTAAAAAAAAAAAAAAAAAAGTATTTGAAAGCAAAATAACAAACATTAGTTTCAGTACGCAAATAACTGGTTTTAAATATTGCAGTCATGCCCCAAGCTCCATCTTTCCTCATTGAATGGTCAGCAAAACAAAACCGAATGCTGAGCTCTCTTGAATAAGCAGAAGCCCAAAAGCCTGGCTCTACATAGACCAAGACTCAGCTGAGATTTTAAACAAAAATATTATGAAAAATAAATTATTTTTTTTAAAAACCCTCTTTTGTCCACATTCAGCTGTGAAGCATAACTAAATCTCATACCGAAACAACACATGCATTTGTCCTAAAACCCTGTGTGCTCCTGGTGGCCCTTAAAAAGTAGATCAGCTGTGATGCTTTAGGATCTTGAAAGTCACGCAGACACAAATTTGCTTAAGAGAAGAAGCTGCCAACAGCCCCTGAAGGTATTTGAAGATGAAGTTTGAGGCTGTCTAGACAGAAAACAATCTTGTAATAACCAATTCTCCTAAACTGACACCCTGCAAACAAACCTCTCCCAAATAGCTTGATCGTAGTCACATCTTCATTCCCTGGAATCAGTTGCAGGCAAGATGCCAGGTGCTGGCAGGAAGCTGTCAGGACCAAAGCCTGCCCGCATAGCAGATACTGCATAGCTAGAATACTACAACAGCGCTATCTGTTGTATTTTCTGTACAAGTGCCATAAACACAATGCTTAAAAATAAAATAAAATGAAAAAGATAGCTTATTGTCAGCCAGACACCTTGTTTCTTATGCTTAGCAATATTCCTAAGTGCAACAAGAAACTATATCATACTGAAGTAAGAAATACGTTACCTTCTCGTCTTTCCAACTCTCTTTTCTGTTCATTTTGCAGATGTTGTGATGATGTCAAATCCATATTGTGCCACAAAAACTGGGACAGAGAAACACAAGCATGTCTGAGTAAAATGACTGCTTTTCTCCCCACATAACACTTGACAAAAAAAATATATTTTTACATGTACAATTTATTTCTATTGATAATAAACATGTAGACACATAAATATCAGTATTCAAAGCACCGAAGAACCAGAAGCAACAAATTAGTTCAACTGTCTTAGTCTCAAAGAGGGAGAAAAAGCAAGTAGATTTAAATTCTAAAAAGAGTTTTGGTAGATGTTTAAAACTCTCTCATGAATTTTTAAAATTAGATTCCATTGAAATCAGGATCATTAAGCTTATAAACAATTGAAAGGAAAGGTAGCAACAAAGGCCTAACAGAGAAGACAAACTGCGCCAAACAGATCTAATCTTGTGTGAATTAATTAGCTTGGAAGGGAAGAAAACAACTTCTTAGTAAAAATTGCGCGTGAGAATAAGTAGGGAGCAGGAGCTATAGACAACATGCAGAACGGAATGCATATGTGCCGATATAAACAGATGTAGATTATACAGACTCGGCAGAAAAAAAAATGACAGAAAAAGTATGACAGAGGACAACACAATTTTCAGCTGTCTGCAGAAAAACAGACAGACAGTCTCCAATTCTTGGTGTTTTACAATCAGAAAAACACTGAGTTCACAGGCAAATAAAATAAGGGGAAAAAAAAGAAAATAATGTTCTGATAACTTTGCTCTTAAGGCTTCAGGTAAAAGAAGACAGCATGGAATAGTCCTGTCTCGTTAGAAAGCACTTGACTTCATGCTACAAAAAGCACACGGGTTTAACGTTTAACCTTATCACAGTGCCTGCAGCCATTAACTTATTTCAGGACAAAAAAGATAGCTTAGGGGGCTTCTAGACATCATTGTAACTGTAGAACAAAAATACTGCTTTTATAACTATCAGTGAACGTAGCAACAGTAACATCGTCATGTGGGGAACAGAAAAGAGACTCAGGGAGATTCAAAGTCTTTGTATCGATCTTTGGAATAACAAGTGGCATTCGAAATTACAGCAACAAGAAGTAGTAAATGTTACGCACATCCATGAGCTTGTCACCTACTTTAGATGTATAGAAGACAAATTTTCTTCCCATTAGAAAATAAAAATGATAGGTTAATGATTGGTCCCTTTGCATTCTGAAGGATGAGCAACATTGAACTATAAAATCACCCTTAAAGGGGAAAAACTTTGTATTTTGTGGTCCTCTGTATCATTTTGTTCCTTCTAAAAATATCCTTTGAGTTACTCCGAACTACACAGCAATCTGTCTGACTTTAACATAAAAATTCAGGAGTTCTACAAGTGAGCAAATGGTGCAGGACAGCTTAGTTACTCTGTTTAGAATAAATGACACAAAGTAATTTAGCGTAAAAGATACAGACACGTAAAACACCACTGGCATCTGCAATGTTTTAGTCAACGTTACCCAACCTCCTGTAGCTTTCCGAAGCTGCTGCTCCAACAGAGAAATCTTTATCCGCCTGTCGCTTCCCTCGCAGGCAGCCCAGGGTAGAAGTGTGCTCTGAAGCCCGTGTCACTAATTGCCAACATCCCCATATCAAAAGCAATAATAAGTCCCGACAGCTGCAGCGCGAGCACAGAGCCGGACCCCCTCCCTGACGTAAGAGAGCAGATTTCATAACAGTTGGTACCCAGTCCTAAGAGCCCAGGACAAACAAAGTAACTTCAGAGCATTATTTTTTCACAGAAATGACAGGGGCACAATGTTAGTAACCACTCACTGTCCTAAGAAGTAATCCAAGAGCTTGATATCGTCCTTCAGTCGAAGGGGTCTTCCAAGCACCCAGAACAGTTTACGGAGGGGCAGGGGTGTATAAATGCATGCTCATGTTGGAACACAGAACCGTAACAGGGTACACCACCCCAAAATCCTAGCGCAATTTACCCCTCGAGCCAGCTGTCAACAGGCATCACTATACACATACCACTCTTCTACATGCAAGACATACACTCACTCAGCAGATCGCAGCCACTTACTGCCATGGAAGCAAGCACGGGTATCATTAAGGCTTCTCTTATTCAGGTTGTGATCAACTCAGGACAGGAATTGTCTTTACTTCACACAGTTTTTAGCAAAATTAGACTTGAACCTCCACCAGGGTCTCTAGGTACCACTGAAAAATAATAAATTATTGTACAAAAATACTAAGCAAGCTCTACAGAGAACTGGTCTCTGTACTTCATCATACCGACAAAAGAAATCAGCAGGAGGCTCTTCTACTTTTGAGAACTATCAAGCACATCACCAAGATTCAATCTACACTTCTAAGGCAAAAATCAGTAATATTGCTACAAACTGGCTGTTCAGGCTTCAAATTTGCTTTTAATTTGCTTAAAATATGATCTTTTACAAAAGTAGTACCAAAAGGGATAGTTTGTGCCCAGTAAACACTGTACATGAAGTACTAGACTCTCTACAGTCCTACCCAGTCCACCTCAGCCCTTCATCCTTTTACAGGAGACTGATGTTTTACACAAAACTTAATTGTATGGACTTGGACTTTCAGGCAATGAAGCAATGACAAATGAAGGAGAAATGTTATATGAGAAGACAAAAGAAGCAAGCAGGAGTAAAACACAATGTAGGAACACAAGTATGCCTGGCAGCATTCAGTGCTTCTCTGACTTAATCCACAGGAGCTATAAATAAATCCTACAATCATTCGGAGAGACAGGTGAGTGGGGGAAGAAGCCAGAGCTGAACACATTGTTTCCCTCAGAAATGAATCCAACATGAGCGCTGCAAACAGTGGGTGCCTCTGAACATCACGTTTACAAATTCTGTCTTACAGCATCATCACATAACTCCAAGTCTAGAAACGTGACACTTAACATTCGGAAGGTAAAGTTACAGCATCTCAGATTACATAAGTTCTTACTGTACCACACGATTTTCCGTGAGCTTACATTGTCTCATGAATGGTTCAACCGGCAACATTTTGAGCACAAAACTTTCAAGATAGGCACAGTGAATGGAATAGGAAAACAATACTAATTGAGTTGATTTTCCTTTTCTCATCACCTAGAAGTAATCCAAGTCACTTTCAAAATCTCATCTAAGTTTGAAGTTAAGGAAGCAACAGATTGTGTGTGATTTGTAACAGCTATCACAGTTAAAAATGCAAATGAGTGGGCATCACGTTTTGGCTAAATTTCAGAATCTCAAAGACCTAGGTTGAACTTGATATTGTTTTACGACGATGTTCTATAAGTGTTATTTTTAAATTATTTTAATTCCTCCTATTGAAGTTCTGGACAAAAAATGCACGACAAATACATGACAAATAGCAATAATTTATTATTTATCAAAAATTAATTAGAATATTTACAAAGTCTAAATCATATCCCCCACATACACACACACAGTCTCTCTTTAAGTCTTTTTCTTTTTTCTTCCTCTCTTACTCTGCGATTTCTTTTTTCTGCCCTCAAATACAGGTTTGGCAGTCACCATGACCACACTTCCCAGTTCTTCATCCTCATCACTCGAGCTACTGCACACCTTTTTCTCTTTATGGTTTGTCGTCTCCATCGCAGCAACTTTTTTACTCTTTTTGGGCTTGCCTAAATCTCCAGTTTCCAATCTCTCTACTGAGGAGTCACTAGAAGTCTCTGAGAGATGCAAATTCCCAATAAAACCACCTCCATATAAATGTTCTTTTCTGGAATCTGAACACTTTCTCCTTTTTCCACTTTGGACTTCTGTTGCCAAAGCTTGATGATTTGCCCAGCGTGCAGTACCTTCGCCTTTCCCTTCCTCATGCTGTTTAAGTTCAGTCTCCATAACAGCAGTGGCTTCATCGGCTTCCTCTCTTTCTTTTCTCTTAAGACAAGTCACAGCTCTGCGTAGTCTCTTACTTTTTATAGCTTGGTTTTCATGCTGTGCTAGTCTGAAGAACGAATCAATTCGAAGCTGAGTCTATCAAAAAAAAACAAAACCCAGAGAAACACCTTGGGATGTTTTCGTGCAGGAATTTAGCCATTTGCCAGCTATGCAATAATGCATTCCAAATGAAAGCAGGACCAAAGACTAATTAAACTTGCATGCAACTCATGTGAACAATAAGATTATAGTAATATCTATAGTTTACTATAAATTATACAAGAACCTTTATAGAAACTAAATAATAAGCAGTGGAAATCTTATAAACCCCATGCTGCTGATGATCAGACGTATGTTGCTGTTTTCAACCCTAACACAGAGAATCTCTGTAGTGCTCTTAAGTATGTCCTTACAAATGCACCCTTAGCTTCAAGCTGTTAGAACAACAGAATGTTTACTAAGCAAATGTTAAGCGCACTTTTCATCTGCATATGCTACTGCAACAAAAGGTGATTGTTTGACTCAAGTTCATTGTAACACATGCTGCTACAGGATAAAGATTTAAGAGTAGAACTAGAAGCAGTCACACACAATCGGTCTGTGTTGTTCAACCACAGCTAGGCTTGCTGTACACACTAAATGTATCCTCTACATTCTCCCTAAAATTGTCTGAGAGGCAGACACTTCCAAGGAATGTTCCAGTCAGCCTGAAGGTACACAGATTTAACTACGGGGTTTGGTACCTTTCACTCCGTTGAGTGACAGAGAGAACCTACAACCCAGGTTTAGACTAGGTACATATCTTGCTTTTGTCAAGAAGAATCTGACCTTATGTGATCAGTTTTACAACTGACTTTCACAGTATCAGAGCACGTACACTATTTGACAGAACACTTATTTGGAAATTAAAGTCTGCACTCCTCCTCAAAGGATACAGATGATACCAAATGGTCAGTCTCACCTCACTAAAATCTCCAGGACAATTTTACAAGTCATTTTCCGAGGCAGCATACTGTATTTTTAAAGTACTAAAGGTGCTTGAGTTACCCGTAGTTTCAGCTACATTCAAAACAGCAACCTTGACTTGAGATGGGTGCTCGATAAATGACAAAATTTGAAACCAACAATTCAAATTGTTGAGTGCCTCAAATGACACTGAAATGAAGTCTAGACAAGCAAGTTGAATGGCTTTTAAAAACATATAAAGATAGAAAAAAAAAAAGCCAAATCCCAGTTTCTGAGAAATGTATTATAAAGTGTTGCTCTTCGTTTTAAAATGCTTCTCATACATTTTTCCAGTTACCCTTAAAGTATACATATTTTTATACTTTACCTGCTGCAAGTTCAGCTGTTTTAGCACAGGCGAAAGGATTTCATCTATCTTTGTCCTCGTCCAGCCAAAATGATCCTGACAGAATGTGCAGAAGTTAAGGAACTTCACAAAATGGCTATTAGTATTTTGTAAAGACATAAAAATTCCTCAAATAAACAATGTCTAGAGGAAAGTGACTCCAAAGCTTTTTCTACCAAAGCTTTTTCTACCACAAAACCAGAGAAAACAAGTTATTACAGCTGACTTACGTGGATCACTTCAGCATGACGTTACATATCTTAACCTTGCTGTAGGTCTCTTACAGAGTCTCACAGTTACAGACTTTTTTCTCTAACACCAGCATTTCCGAAAGCACATCTCAGTGAAGATAGAATTCACTGGCTATATGGTACTGCCATAAGAAAAAATACCTATAAATAAACGTTATTTTGACACCTGCACACACTGGCAGTTTCATTTACCATTTAAAACACTACTAGCTCTGCATGCATAGCCATCTACTTTTCAAAAATTCACTGCAGCTCGAGCTGCAACAGATGAAAGAAATGCAGTGGATAACTAGGGACAAAGTGCAAACTGAATCACCATTTCTGACCAGGTTTTGAAAATTATTTGTGAAAGACTAGAAACACACATTGTGAGTGTAAACCCCACTCTTAGTCTAGAAATAAGCACTGTGCAGTTACAGAAACACATCACAAATCAGCCAGCCCAGCTACAAGACTCTCTCTGCCCGCCAGGTGAAGCAGCCCACTCTCTCAGCAGGGCAGAGCAGCCCCGAATGCCACAGGCGCAGCACTGTGTCCCTTGCCATTTCAGAGCTGGCACCACTGCACAAGAGCACAGGCAGACAGGTCAAGGGACCCTCACATCAAGGAGATGTTAAGAATTTGACACTGTGTTACTGACTCACTAATGAGCCTCGTGAGCTTTTAATTAACTTTTAACTAACAAGTCCTCTTATACAGGAAAAAGGATATTCTCTGATCTGTTCTACATCAGGCTTCCCCCAGGTGAATGAACCCCTTGTCTCATCCACTACAGGCTTCAGGTATGCTTCTGCCACCGCTGGATTTGGGAAACCTGAATGAAGCTGCAGCTCCCTCAGTTTCTTCTTGACTTTGGTATCATGTGGATTAGGTCTCAATTTCTTATTCTTCTGAGCCTCATTCCACCACTCACTGAAAAACAGAAGAGAGTATTAATTTGACTCCACAAAACAGAATATCAAGAGCTACCATGCTAATTTCAGTAGCCTTAGTCTCCCTACTTCAGTTACTACACAGGTAGGAAATTTCTAAACAAAATAAAGGGTGCAAAGGACATATAATCTGAAAGTAGACAAGACAACACATACACAGTAAATGCAGCCCTTGTAACCTACGGTAGCAAATATCATCTGGATTTCCCAAAAGCTGATAAGCAGACAGTCCCAAATGGAGCCTTGCTTCTGAAGGATGTTTCGCACATTTTGATAGTTTTTGGAGGTTTTTTGGCATGCAAGGAAAAAGCAAAAAAAAATACCCCAAACACTTCTAACTATCCTTTCCATTGTTAGTACAACTAGATTGGTCCTCCTCAAATCTTGTTCTTCCCCACAGCCTACCTGTCTGTCTCTTTCCAGGTCATCCATTCCTCACTCATCAAGTCTTTTGTCTACGAGCAAGCTACAGCACCTTCTCACAAACTCAGGGAAAATAAACCTCCACTCCACTATGGATCCAGCTCTGCAATGAACTCAGACGCAGTCGCATGGTTCTATGGCTGTTCTATTGTCTTCATGAGTCTCACTGTAACTGCTGTATCAACATGTCACCTTATTTACCTGCCATTTCAAACAGTGACATATAATGGAGTCACATATTTTACAGTTTCCTTAACGGTGGTCAGTGAATGATGTTCATGTGTTTCGTTGTATGCTTAAACAGCAAAAAAACATATTTGCTAATATTCATATTACAGAGGGAGAAAAAGCAAAATATTATAAAGCATACGCAAATTTTAAGAGGGGTTCCAAGCCATGTCCAGGAAATTCATTTAAAATCTCCATCGCTGTTACAAAGCCAACATTTGGGATGCCGTCAGCGTAGTCACTTCCAAGCAAGTACGCCAAATTAATTAGCTTGTTTCTATCCAACCCTGTAAAAGAAAATGCATAAACCAAATAAAACCAGTGGATTCTACATCTGTTCTCTTACAAATTAAAAACAGTATATTATCTGAGAGGTAAAAACCAAAAGGAACACAAAGGCATTAACTCGGTAAAATTACATTAAATTCAACATCAAAATTTGCTAATTACATTCTAAAGCAGTGGTAGTTGTGCTAACTTGGCAAATATATCTTCCCAAAACTAAAATGCTACAAGGTAATGATCACTGAGAAATTCTGTGTTTCCAAAAGGCCAAGAAATATTATTTTACATGTATTTCTCCAGTTACTGCCCTGTTCTCATCTAATGCTGACCTGAACCTAACAACTCCTGAGTCAGAAATCAAAATATTCAGTTTAAATCCCAGCCCATAATATCAATGCCTCTGCTTCTTAAAAGTCTTCCCAAACTGGAAGCCTTTTGCTCTGTGCTAGTGCAGTTATGAAGCAGACCAGAAGAGCCTGTGGAACAGACAGAAAGAAGAAAGAACTCATCTGACCACATCTACTTAGTATGCTATAAGATCTGAAGCAAACAGACTGGTTTTCTGTAACTAGCTTCAGGAGTTTGGATTTAAAAATCAATTAACCAACCAACCAATCAACCAGCAGAGAAAAGGACAGATATGTGTCTAAGCATACAAAAAGAGACCAGCAGCATGCTAGTCAAGATATCCATAAACTGTCAAGAAAGAAGAATTGTGCACCTCATGGAAAAGGAGTAGAAGTACAAGACCACAAAGGAATGTGACATGAAGACCGATGGTGACTACTTCTCCCTAGTAAATAAATGCTCTGGTTTATTACATTAATAACAGCTAAAAATCACACACATGGTTTTACAGCAATCCTTTCCAAGTAAGGTACAGTAGCATACCTAAGTAGGTAGAAGTAAGGGAAAAAAATATTCCTTTCAATTTGCTGTAAGAAGAAACCAGTGACACGTTTTTCACCATATAAAAATACTGTAAAATTTTACACGCTGAAAGACATTAACATATTATTTCAAAGTCTATAGCTTCTCAACTTTGGAAACGTCAAAACTGATTTTTTAAAAGAGTTCTGCTTAAACAAGGCATAAGACAAAGTCAAATTTGGCTCCTATTTTCCTTAACTCACTACATGACACTGAAGGTTAGAAGTTCCACCTAACTGGCAACAATTTGACTACGCCAGTACAAGAGCAATCTGAAAGAAGAAAAAAGCTGCCAGTACTAACTAAATGAAAAACCTTTTACAAAGCCTCTACATACGCCAGATTTTCTTCTAATGCATTACGTGTCAGTATGTCCAAAATTAACTTCCACTTCCAGAAGACTATAAATCTAATGACAACAGAATATAGTTTTCCCATCACATCAGAAAAGTCATGCTGACATATACCCAGAAACTGGTACCTGCAGACTTCAGGATCATCATGCTAACTCTGCAAATTTAGGGGGGGAATCATGTGGCAATAAAAAAAAGCAACACAAATGACTGTCCTTAGAGACTCTCCAAACAAGGGGCATTGTAATAACAGATGCACAAAATTCTATGCAAAATGCAACTTCAAAGGATACATGGCAGTGCTGCCTTATTAATGACTGCATTTAACAAATCATTTGTGAGTCTCACCTAGTTGGTTCTGAAAATCAACGCACTGATAATATTCCACATATTTGTTTTGACTGAAGAAATTTTTATAAACGTGTCGTGCGCCAAATAACCAAACATCACTGTCATCGGTGATTGTCCCAGACGTTTGATCAGTGAGGTCTAATATAGCACACTGTGCCTCTGCCTCCATTGGAGCTTCAATATAGGGAATGCCAAACAGACGGAGAAGCTCCTGTAGGATGGAGAGAAACTAGTTAATATTTCATCTGAAGAACAAACTTCTGTTGTACTTCTGCTTGACTCAGACTGCTGGAGGTATTTAGTATGTCACAGCAAATCTTAATTTCCACCAAAAAGTGCCAGGTACGGTTAAGCCAAGGGGGAAATTCCACTTATCTCAAGCAGATAGTGCCACATAAAGTCAAGCACTATTTGATCACACTATTACTGCACAGTTTGAGAATCTTCTGTCTTAATTACATGAGCATACTTAAGTATTGTACTTTCCATAACATGGAGAAAAGTCCAGATATGTGGGCTCTATGAAAGAAATATGCAGGTTAAATAAGAAGTTAAAAAATTAATTAAAAAAAATCAGTTATCACCTTAGCTCAGAAAACAGTATGAAAGCATAAGAGAAACATTAATATCAAGCAGGAAATAGTGGGCATGCTAATCATCTTTGGGATGTTTTAATATGCACGTATTTTGATGCATTTTACACAATTTGCTTTTACAGAATAAATTATATAACCTCTGTTAAATATCCTGCACACTCAATAGGTTTACAGGCTTGTGTTAGTTACACAATTATGAATTATGTCAGAAACTGTGCTTTTCATTTACTTTCCAGCTCCCTAGTTGGATTTAATAATTGCTGCAAAAGCTAAGGCGTAAAATTTATTGAATTAAATATCTGATATGTATACATATATCTGCACAGACACACAGTTTTTTTCCTCACTGTAGCTTGTTTCTGTGTCCTGACAAAGCCAGTCTCAAGACTTAAAACTTTTAACTACAATAAAGAGCAAAAGCACAAGGTCAAAAGGCTTAGAGCTGTAATGGTATAGCTACCATATTATGGCACATAACATGGCAAAAGCACAAGCCTTTTAAAAAAATCTGAAGAAACAAGTACGAGCAAATATTTAACAAAGGAAACAAAAATATCAACCATTTAAAGACTACCTAAATTAATACTTTTATACAAAGACAATAAAAGCATTTATATATTTCTCAGGATTAATTTGTTCAAGTAGGTTTATTACATTATAGATACTATCACTGGTCTACTGCGTTACAGATATGTGAACCCCAAGACAGCGTATTGCAAGTAGTCCTTGCATGAGACTGCATTACCTTTACACACCAATACTAAAACAGAAGCTAACAGACTTACGCAGTCAGTACTGGTGAGATTCTTTAAAACCAGTTATCCAGCGCATAAACCCAGGTTACCATACAGATTTCTTTTAAGCTTTTGTCTTTTAATCCCTACGGAAAAATCACAATTTACCTAACACCCAGTATTTTTTTGTTCCACTTGTACATCTCACAGCAACAGGCAAAGATCAAACTGTCCCAAACTTAAGAAGTTTGTGCTTAAAAAAAATGTTAATTTATTCATAATTTTACTACTACTTTCTACTGTTCTAACAGTGATGGGTTTTCATGCGGCTGGGTTTTTGGCTAGGGGGCAGGGTATGCGGGTGACTCCTTCAGAGAAACTTTCAGAGCCTTCCTGAGACCAGGAAACCAGTCAGATCCATCTCTGGCTAAGGCCAAGAAAATCAGCACCTCTGTGAATCAGATTATTCAAGACAATCAGCACCTCTGTGAATCAGATTATTCAAGACAGGAAGCCTGTTGCGGAGTTCCCCTGTCCTCTGTCTTTTGCGTTGAGGACTTTTATTTTGGAGAGGAGGAAGGGGAGGTGAGAGAAGGGCAAGCTGGTAAGGAAGAGTAGCAGAGAAGGGCACCAGTGAAAAGCATTTCCCAAAGGCCCGTGGTGATATGGCACCAGGGAGACAAGTGGCGGTGAGCATCTGGGATGTGGCCCATGGAGGATCCCAGGCCAGAGGGGAGGGAGACAGTAGTGGTAACGGACACACCTGGAGCAAACTGCGACTCTGAGGACCCACGCTGGAGCAGGTCGACTGCAGCCCACGGGTGGATTCCACAGCGGTGGGATGGACTCACTCGGAGGATGAGGACTGCCTCCCGTGAGAGGGGCATCACACGGCAGCAGGGGAAGGCTGCAAGAAGGCCTCTCCCCGAGGAAGATGGAAGGACCGAACCCTCCGCCCCTTCCCCCCCCGCATGCTTTAGAGGGAGAAGGTAGGAGGGAAGGAAGGAGACGTAGGAGGAAAGGAGGGATAGGATCTGTTTGCACTTGCTTTCTCTCTCTATCCTGCACTAATCTAGTTGGTTTGGTTAAACTGGTGGTAAACTAAATTTATGTTTGCTTTCTCCCTAAGTCTGCTCTGTTTCTTTGCCCGTGACCAAAAGTGGCGAGAGAGACCCTCCCTGTCCTGATCTCAAACTTCAAGCCTTTTTGTTGTATTTTGTCCCTCCTCATCCCTAAAGGGAAGGGGTGGGGGTGAGTGAGCAGCTGTGTAGCTCTTGTTCTCCGCACGGTGGATTCAAACTATGACAGTTACTTAAAATTGTTGGAATTCAAAATTATTTCAATACTTGGAATTCTTTGAAGAAAACAAGCTCCTAAGAGGAAAAAAAAAGGTAACTTAAAATTAAGCAAAATTACTAACAGCTTTTGAGAAAGTGTTTGACGGGTATGGAGGGGAACACCACATCATGCTCTTTCAAATCAAAATGATTCAACAAATACTACCTGGCTTTCCAAGAACATCTGTCCGGTTACAGAAGCAGCAACACGTTCCTGCTGCTGCTTCTGAGCCTGAAGCACATTCTGCTCAGCAGACAGGTCATTGTCTAATTCTGCTAGCTCTTCCTGAAAAATAAGATTTTAGTTATTTCAACAATTCAGCTGTACTTAGAAGCACTAAGTCTCCAAGGATAATTATTCTAGCAATATATGCTCTATTTATTGACATTTGGAAGTTGTCATAGCTTCTTTAATGCAGTAAATTGTAAAACAGGTCTATCCATCACAGTGCTAAAACCCTAAAGTTTCCCTCTGGTTTCAGTGAGATTATGGCTATCCACCATCTTTAAAGAAAAATCAGTTCCTACAGAATTAGACACTGTCAGTGGTTAGGGATGGGCCAGCCACTAAACAACTGACAGATGCTCTCTATATGAGAGAGCAATGGAACAGTAAGAAGCTGTTCAATAGTTTTCCTTAAAAACTGCCTGGGGCAGGAGCACTTCACTACCAGCTCAGAACAAGTAACAAGGAGTTACCAAACTGATGTCTTGCCACTCATCCACTGCATCTTCACCATCTTCTCTCTCAACGCTCTGATCGTTTGCCAGCTGCACTTCATCAGACTCCTTTGGCAAGTCCTGTGTGACAGTATCACACCTGTCTGTCTCCACTTCTGGAAATGCTGTTTCATCACCCAATTTTTCATCAGATTCAGTAGGAAACTCAGCCTCATTACTGATTTCAGCATCCACTTCAATAAAGCTTTCTATTAAAGGAAAATAAAGATTTCAACTTCCTGCTGCTTGAAGTATTTGTACATGTTTTTAACCTGGGCAGTGATTTTATAAAATTTTTCCCTACGTGCACTACAGAGATATAAGGATTATGAAAGAACAGAAATCAAGTGGCTGATCATTAACATACCATTTAAGTTTAGCGTACACAACAGCACGTTTTCCTGACTCTCTGTATTGTATACTCTGTTTTCAATGATAAAAACATTTATTTTCTTCCCATCTCCTACACAAGTAGGAATAGATGTATTTTAAAGCATTTCTTACTAGGAGAAAAGGTTAACTTCAACTGACTACAAATACAATAAGGTCCTGTTTTATTATCTTTTACACAACTAGGAAGCACATACCATCTGAATCACTGTCTTCAGAATCACTGTCTTGAGACGGTGGCATCCTTTTTCTTTCCCCCTCAGGACTTTTTGCTTCTGGAAAAAATCTAATATCCTTTTGCACCTCAGATACATTCTCCTCTGTTTGAGAAATTCCTTCCTCTAGATTTTCAGAAACTTGCAAGTTTTCCCCACCTTTAGAAAGGTCTACTGTTTCAGCATGAACCAAAGCCCCTATACTAGTTTGTACAGGAGAACAGTTTGGCTTCTGCATGCACAAGTTTATATCCTTATCTCCCAAAGAATTTAAGTCCAGTTTGGAAGCACTTTCTTCTTTGTCTACGTCTTCTTTGCCTTTTCTAGTATTGTCAACATCAGAATAATTTTCAGCTCTGGATATAGTGGTGTCCTTGGGGGTAATATAATTTCTTCCCAATTCCTGGCTCTTTTGTTCAAATTCAGCATCTTGCGTAATCACTTGGTTTGACAAATGAATTGTAGGTGTAGGTATTTTTTCTCCCTCCTTAACTGCAGGAATCTGATCTTCCTCATCTGAGCTACTAAGCAGAAAATCCTTCACTTCTGATCTTTCTGGTAGCACTCCACCAGCTGTAACAGTAACAACTTCCTCCCTTTTACTGTCATCACTCAGAGCTTGCTGAATTGCCTGTAGTGTTCTCGGAGACACGCTGCCTTCCTGTGTTACAGACTGGTCCCTGTTCAGTCGCCCTCCATCTTCATCCCCCAGCTCTTCTTCTGAGCTGCTTTCTACCATAGCTGCCTGGATAGCGAGCAAAGTCCGAGGAGAGGGTGGCGCAGTCGTCCTGTTATCTTTCTCTGTTTGCGACTTGTCAGCTGTAACTGCATTAGCAGAAGATTCATTGATTTTACTCAGTTTAGTAAATTCAGGTATTCTTGATGAGGGTCCCGCAGCAGTTTCCAAGTCTCTACTTGTAGCTTCTTTTGCTTGAATACCTGAAAGAAAGTTTTTGTTGGTTTTTTTTCTCAGTAAAAACTGCTTTACACTATCATTTCATTTTACATAACAGATATCCTTAAATAAAGATTAATAAAGCCGTTTTCTGCATGCTTACAGATTATAATTATGTGTAACAGTAATGTACCTTTCATACAAAGTATTGGTTACACGCATTTGTAAACAATACTCAGGATTTTCTTAAAACTGATAGCTGCAGACTGCACAGAGCAAACAAGTGCTTTTATAAAATTAAGACCTGACATACCCTTTATTAGGATGTAGTGAGAAGTATCTTCAGAGACTACCCTCCTAGATTCCACTTCTTTCACAAAACCACCTTCATTTTCATATTGTGTTTGAATTTCACCCGAGTGCTGTTGATTCAATTCTTTTTCTACATTTTCTATGTACCGATTGAGGCTGCTTTTCTTAAGCAAACCCCTAAGCTGGTACTGGGAAAACTCATTTGACTCCTTAAAAAAACAAACAAACAAAAAAGAACCAAGTCAATTTAAATAAAATGTCACTAGCTGAACCTTTTAAGGAAGTTCATTTACCATGCTCTGGAGATTCTTTGAAGAGTTTCCTTTATGCAAGTAACATTTTTACAGACTGCTGCACTCCCAAGCAACACTGGCCCAGTAACATGCAATTCTAAAAGGTACCATTAAGTAGTTCTGAATGCTGGCTAAACACAAAAGGATCTCAATGAATTGACCAACTTAATTCTGTTAAGAGTCATTGTCTCACTGGGTTTTTCCCCCTCAACCTAACAACTCTTATTAAATAGGCCTGGGGGTAAAGCCTTCCAGATGCAACACTCTTACACAGCGTTCAGCTGCATTAATGGCAATAGGTCCATTTGGATGGCTTGAAAACTATTTTAAATATTACCTCTGGCATTACTTCAAATAATGTTCTTTTCCGCTTTGTGAATTCTTTCATATCAGTCAAGATCTCATGTTTTATTTCTGGAGGCAGCTTGTTGAAATCTTCTGATTCAATATCTACAGAATGAGGATTTTCACATAGCTCTTCCTATAAAAATGGAAAGCAACATAAACGTGTATTTTGTATTACAGTGCAGAAAGAGTAATAAAGTATTTAGAGTATAATTCTGAACAACAACAACAAAAGCCACAAACTCTTTGTTGCTACTTCCTATACTGTGAATAAAAGAGTTAATTTAAAAAAGGTAACTACTATGTAACAAAACAAAGTACATAATTACTGTGTATACTATACAGAGAAATTTGGCTTTACTCTTCTTGTAAAAAGATATTTATCATAAGTCACACAAGCAGGCACTATATACTCAGCTAGTCTGACTGTACTCTTCTACAGAGGTTCTCCCTCTGAATGTGAACTACTTCAAAGACAAACAGTATTTCCAAGAGTGTTGTTTTGTTGGGGATTTTTTTTGTTCGCTTTGTCTCATTTTGGTTTTAATTTAATGGAAGCAGAGATTATTTTATTATTCATTATGCTGCCTTCTTAGGTTATGTATTTCTTCTCTTCCCATGAGATCAGCACATCAGAAGGGAATACAAAATTTATCTGTGAAAACTGAAGGACCAAAGTGCTTCAACATCAATTAATATTCGGATAAGCATGGGAATTTTGTTAAATATGCTTGTAGGTGCATACAAGTGAATGCATGCTTTTCATTCATATCATTACAAAAAAACAATTTCTTCTCCGCATGTCCAGAGAAAGTAGTCAAAAAAAAAAAAACCCAAACACGTAATAAATTCCTATTTTGCTGTACCCTAGTAAAGAAAGTTACATTTGTAGTTTCTCATTAGCAGGTATTCATAGTGTAACTTATTTGCTTGATAAGTAACTCTATAGTAAGATCGATACTCCCAAACATTTATTTATTTTAAGTTCTTTGTCTTTTAAGCATAGCACACGAATGAGAGGATTGTTCACAGTAACAGGGCAATTAGGATGCACTTACTTGCAACATCTTTTTTTGGCTCATTCTCACTTGCCATTCTTTTTCCTCTTCCTCCTCTGAACTAAAAGTCACAAAGACAGAAAAAAAAAAAGAAAAAAAAAAAAGATGTAGGTATCTACCTACAAAACCAAAAGCTCCTATATTAAGCAATAATAGCCATTCCTTCACTGGTAAGTACGAAAATTCACACAAGACATCAAAGCGCACACATATATATAAGCATATACATACAGACACACATATAAAGATGCATATCCAAGTCAAAAAAGATCTTCACAGAAAGCAAGAAAGCAGACTCATCTCAGTTAAAACGAGACTGAGAGAACCGCTGCTGTTTAAAAATCACTACCTGATTCTTATTTGGTCAGCATTTAAAGTATACAGAAGTATACATAAGACATACAAAGAGTAATGTATAGCTCCACGTTCCTACTTAGCGATATTTAAGATGTCTCAGGTTTCACAAGTACATACGAAGCCTGCTTCTGTCAAACACATCCGCACTACTGAATGAGGGGATGTAAACTGGCACACACCAGCTACCCAAGCTGGAATAACTGGTTCCATTTAGCCATATAGATATGGCCTAAGTCATATAAAGACTGAGGTAGTACTTTCTTCCTTAAACATAAATCCAGTGCAGAAATTTAATCTGTGGGATGAAAGCTTCTTCTGTTACTTCCTCATAAGTAACTAGCAGACTTCTGTATCCAGAGCTATAAAGCAAATTCTCCAAAAAGAAAATGAAATAAAATGTAAGGAAATATGCTTTATATATTATAGTCTCATAGGTCAAAGGCCTTTCAGGACTGTCAGAAAATGTGGTTTATACTTTTATTTGAGGTTTTATATTCATTTAAGTTATTTTTCATAATTCTACCTACCTGTTCTTCTCTTCATCTTCTAAAGAAGGCAATACGTATATATCATCTATTTCTTCTCTTCGAACTGGTGTAATACTGGGAAAAGCTTCACTGCTTAGGGAAA